GATGCAACGCGCATATTAAGACTCTAATCAGCAAACCTGCAGCACGTGGCCACAGGGACCTGACTACTTCCCACCCCATATAAAACCACAGTAAAAATGATGGGGGTTTTTAAAACTTGGGGTTGAAATGGCTTTAATAAGGGTACAAAGCATTGATCTGAGATTTTTAAGGGTGAGACAGGGTAATGCCAGTCTGACAGAACTGTCTGATTAAAGATCATTTTGTGAACTTATATATATATTTGGGTGTGTGTGTGTGTGTGTGTGTGTGTGTGTGCAGCATGATTATGTTGCTGTTGGGAAATTACAAATTTCACAAATTTCAGTCACATTTTATTTGGGGACAAATTCACACTATTAACTAACTATTAACTACCTCAATAAACTCAATAAACTACTCATATGCTGTTTATTAATAGTTAGTAACAGGGTTTCTGCAGGATTTTTAAGCTCAAATTTAAGACCTTTTTAAGACCTGCACAAATAAAATCATATTAAACTGTAAAATTACTGTAAAAAGCACTGTAAAAAAAACTTGAAGTTCAGATACAAGTTTTCACAAAAACAAAAAGTTTTATAAAATGATAAACTTTAGCCTTTAACCTTTAAACCATTTTTAAGAAAATAGATGAGTCAAAAGTATGAATTATTATATTAATTTAATTATCAATAAACTTATTTAAATTAAAAAATTATATCTCGATAATTTTCTGGGATTTTATCGATAATGATAATTAGACAATATTTTGCAGAGTGTGTTATTGTGCTGGTACCTTATCTCTAATTGTGCTGACAGCTGACTCCTGATTTTGTTTTTTATATTCTTCATATTCTGTGTGGTCAGTTCACAGCAGTGATAGAAATTAATTATTTTTATGGGCATTTTTGTCTTTAAGCCATTTTTTCTAAAAGTGTGTGCCATCTTTTGAGTCAAATTCTTGCATTTGGGCTGTTACCAAGCAAATTAAATCAGCATCAACAAAATGTATCTTTGCAATGCAGAGGAAACAAAGAAGCTGCATTAGAAGTGTAATTTAGATGCATTTACACACTGTTTAATGCAGCTCTGAGGGACATTAAATACTTTAACCTGCAGTTACAAATGCATAAATAATCTTTTGATTTTTTTAAACATAAAACATTAAAACTGATGTTTGAAATTATTTTAAAAATGAAAAGACACCTTAAAGGGTTAGTTCACCCAAAAATGAAATTAGCTTGTGTTTTACTTACCCTCGAAGCATCCTAGGTGTATATGACTTTCTTCTTTCAGATGAATCCAGTCTGAGTTATAAAAAGGGACAAATCTCACTTCCGTTATCTGTCATACGCGGATCCGTTCCGGCGGAAGGTGTATGACGTATGCGCAGCGTGCGTTGGTTTAATAGGAGCAAACACTCTAAAAAATCAATAGCTGGGTTTGTTCCTTTTTAACCCAGCATTTTTTTAGAGTGAAGGAAGCAAAGTTTCCTTACTTTAGCAAAGGAAAACCAGTCTCCTCTTTGTTTATATCGAAATCCTCCGACATTTTTCTTTGCAAATCTTTGGTTTGTACTTCTAATTCGTGACCGGCGTTTTGTTTTGTTCTCTCTCCGCATTCATCACTAATCATGCAACACCGACGTCCTACGTCATCAGCCGGAACTGCTTCAGTGTATGATAGTCAGCGGAAGTGATATAAAAGTGTTTATTACGTTTGAAATATGGATATTTTTCTTACAAAAACTCATGAATTCGCTACAGGGGGCCTTTATTCATCCCCCGGAGCCGTCTGCGGCACGTTTTATTATGAATGCGTGAGCTTTATTTGACGACTTGTGGACTGTTCAACTGCAACACCCGCAGACTGCAATGATAGAGCTTCGAATAGCCAGGACAATTTTTAATATAACTCCGACTGGATTCGTCTGAAAGAAGAAAGTCATATACACCTAGGATGCTTCGAGGGTAAGTAAAACACATGCTAATTTTCATTTTTGGGTGAACTAACCCTTTAAATGTGAAATTAAAACCGCCAGTAGGTGGCAGCAAATCACTGTTAAGTGAGTCATTGCGATTGAACCGAATCATTTAAACGGTTGATTAATTCAGAAACGAAACACCGTCATGTTGCTCAGTGACGCAGAACAGCGCTGTGGCTGTGTTTGGAATGATTTTTGTTAAGAGAAATAGAGCAAAAACAGGAAATATGGCGTTTAAAACGTAAGTCTCTTAATATTAACTTCTTGTTTATTGAACTGTTGTATAAAATCAATATCACATTTGTAATCATGCTTACTTTTGGAGAAAAAACGTCACTCTTCGTGTGATATTAACTATATGAAATTATATAAATATATACCCCATATCTTGAATTTTATAATTCTAAATGCATTTTAATAGACTGATTCATGAAGGGAAAGAAATAACTCTAAATGCGCAAGCGCACTAGTCTAACCTACTAGACTTCATCATGTAATGTATGCACTCACTCTGTAGGCGTTTTGTTTGCTTTTCGCGATATACTCGATACGCACTAGTCTAACCTGCTAGGCTAGGTGTTTTGTTTGCTTTTCGCGATATACTAGATAATATCAAATCGCACATCGTTAAAACAACAATAACGATATTATCGCAGACCATGCATATCGCACACCCCTATTTGATTTTTATAATGCATTGTCTTCTTATCAATCCATCAGCTCACATTTAAAGCTGTTTGCAGGGTAAAAACATGGGTCGATTTTTGCATTTGTCTGAACTCTGAACAAAACAACAGTTTTACTGAAAATTCTCATTAATTCTCTGACAGCAGGTGGAGCGTTTGGTAGAAATATAACGGTTTCCCCGGTAATGCTGTAAACAAAGCAGTGCAGCACCGAACTTTGAACATGCAGCGCTCGTGTTTATTTCATGAAATCATAGCCTTTTGAAGTTTAATCGTCACATTCAGCCATATCGCAATTCTGGTCTTTCCGTCCCCAAATTTAAGACCTCTTGAAATCATAATTAAGACTTTCTTGTACAATTTAAGACTTAAGGCTTTAAATTTGATACAACTAAATTTAAGACTTTTAAAGACTTTTTTAAGACCTGCGGAAACCCTGTAGTAAGGTCGTTGTTAAGTTAAGATATGGGGTAGGATTAAGGGATATAAAATATGTTCATGGCATTAATATGTGCTTTATAAGCACTAATAAACAGCCAATATGCTAGTAATATGCATGTTAATAAGCAACTAGTTAATAGTGAAAAATGGTCCCTAAACTAAATGACATTATTCCTATTTATAATATTAGTCAATGCTAAACAAACCAAACATTAAACAAGTCAACAAATTATAATCATATATATAGTATTTATTTACACATTTTTCTATTTACATCTCTTTGAAAACATAATTCTGTACACAGCTATTTAATTCAAGAACATTTTAGAACATTTCACTCACACCTCTTTTAAAATCCATTCTGACGTTTCTGTTTGAAGTCAAGAAACTAAGTCAAGAAGCTTGGTATCCAGAAAATCTCCCAGCACCCCACGTAGCTCGTACTGTAACTCCATGTTGTCCAGGCACTGAATGTCAGTTACAGTAAATTCCTTCAATTCTACAGCCTATCAAACAGGAGACCAGTAGAGCTGCTGAATTCACGGTTTATGCAAGAGTATATGTTGTCAAGGCAAATGTTCTGCTTTGCCACATCCTAAATGATCATGAATGTAAAATAAATATGTGACGTCATCAATCTCTAGAGTTAGGCACAACTTAACAGGCTCATGTAAACAGTATATAAAAAAATAATAATTTAAAAAAAGCAGACTCATAGAACATATCTTGTACAAAAGGGAGGAAAATAGACTTATCAAGTGCAGTTTCACTTATATTTAGTTGTATGAACTGGCACACAAATTAAAAAGCCTGATGACATGACTGAAGCAGTGCACAGTTCAAATACTGACAAAATGTAAAGTCAGAAGCTGATATCCCCAAACACATCTATTAATGACAGCATTGTACAGTCAGTACGGATTATTACATCAATATCAAAATAGGACGTCAACATGACAGGGCCATGAGCAACAGAGAAAGCAAAAAATTAAATCAGTTCTTCAGCTTGCATCTCCAGCTGCCTTTGTTCACTGAACCTGTGCCTCGCGAAACTCAAACAGCCAAAATAAGGCAAATTTTATTGACTCCATTGCAAAGCCTCATGGGCACTGTTCACATACAGAGACAAAATGAACACCCTACGAATTCTGGCCACTTCTTGAGGTAGACCAAGGTTCAATTAAGTGTTCGTAGGCGCTGTTTAAGCCAAACGATCTTACTGTGAATGTTTATAAATCATGTTTTCTGAGTGATGTCTTATTATTGCCATGAATCAGTTGGGCCAGCATCCATCCTACTGTTGCGGTTACCTCCTAGAATCTTGCAGTCTAAATGAACTTTGAAAAAATAAAATAAAATTCTTGGAAACGGTTGTGATTAAATTTAAAAAGAAAAGCATACAAAAACAAAAGAATAAATTTAGTGTATTTCAAGAGTGCATGATTTTGACATCCGGGTGACTCGTGGCATTCGGAGTGCTAATATTAGTAGAAATTAGGAAAAATTCCAGGAACAGCTGCAGACCATATTCCCACCTCCATAAATATGTCACGGTTTCAGTTCAATATCATTTCACAGACAGTTGCGCCTCCGAGGTCAGTAGGGCTCGTCATATTCGGTGACTGTGCTGGGCGAAGCCTCATCTTTTGTAATGGTTAGGGGCGTCTGCAAAAGCAAACTTCAGCCGGTAAGCTTCAGCTAGGAGAACGCTAACTTCCTCATTTCCCCAGTGCATTGTGGGTAGATTCTGGAGCAGAATCATCAGACCCTGTGGAGGATAAAGAGATTTTGTTAAAAAGGATAGTGTGCACAAACGCAACAACAATATACTTAGTCTAATCAACTAGAGGGTAGGTAGTCTGAACAACTAAATGACTAATTGTCGGTGTTAAGAAAGCCCTGTATTACTAGGCTGGGTCACAAACAGTGAGCAGGTATGTTTCTTAGTAGGGCTGGCTATTGAGACAAAATTTGATTCGATTTTGCTTCACATGCTTGAGATTTGACTCAATTTAGAACTCGATTCAATTCAATTCGCCAACTATTTATTTGGACATATAGCCGATCAGCTACAGTGCATGAAAAATCTCTCAACAAATGCTGCAAACCATACAGTAAACCCTGTCAGGTGGTACATATATTAGTGATTTGTAAACATAAATCAACATATTGCACATAATATTTTTATAGAAAAAAAAAAGATAAATAAGATTGAATAACTTTTAAATAATATAATTATTCTTCTACTTCAGTTTGTTGTTGATATATAAACACGTCATGACATACATTAAATACTGAAGAACAGGTTATGTAAAATAATAAATATGTAATATAGTGCATATATAAATAGTAAAATTATCCTTTCTAGAGTTCACTTTTACAGCTAACTATCGAAAGTCATTGATGATATGGTCATTGAAGGGTTTTCTGAGGTAAATGTAACGTTATGTGACATTGTTTACAAGCTGTTGTATTGACGTCTTTCTGGGATTGACACTTTAGAGCACAGGTGGGCATATCTGGCCCTCAAAATCAACTTTCCTGAACAAGCTAACCAAGGTCTTCAAGATTACTAAAAAGTAGTGCTGTCAAAATTAGCGCGTTAACACATGCAACACATTTTTTTTCAGTTTAACACAAAAAATATTGAACGCACTTTTTTTTAACACTTTTTTTCAATTAATGCACACTCCAACTTTGCCTCAGTGCCAAGCGTTAGTCAAACGAGCATGGAAAACGTACAGGTGACGTCGGAGCTTCAGTAGAACAACAGTCAACTGCAGTCAGATGAGATGTTGCCTGGCCATGTCAATAAAAACTAATTTTCTTGTCCTGTCAGCAGCTATACTGTGCTCGTAGCACGTGCCCTTCAATCGCACAAATGCGGCCATGCACGCTGTATACATTTTGATTGATTAATTTTTTTAATCGATTGACAGCACTACTAAAAAGCTACAGACATGTGAATAAGATCAAAGTTTGAGCTTATTTCTCCAGGAAAGTGGATATGAAGGGACAGAGTTGCCCAACCCTGTTTCAGAATTAGGTACACTGATCAGATGCATTTCTATGAAAATTATGGATGCTTTAGGGTCATGCCCATTTATCGGACATGCTGAAATACAGCTAAAGAACAGGGGCGGGCAACTCTGGCCCTCAAGGTCCACTGTCCTGTAAAGTTTAACTCCAAACCTGATCAAAATACACCAGGGGCTGGTTGCATAAACCGTTTAGACTAATCTTAAAAAGTTAGTCATCTAATTATTTTTCTTAAAGACTGGTCATGACTTTTTAAATTCAGTTATGAAAAAGTAGATTGGTCTTATTTGTACTGAAAAAGTAAGACTGATTACCCCTTGGTAACTGCTTGTTGGTCAAACTACTTCTTTAGACAGTCTTAACATGGAGGCTAAGTTTATGCAACTGGCCTCTGAAGCAGCTAACCAAGTCTTGAAGAAAACTTTACAGGCAGGTATGCCTGTAAACTGGCTTACAAAATTTGTGAAAGGGGCATAAACAGCTAGTTGGCTGATGGAAGACAGCTGAGCATCCTAATGCACACACATCCCAGGAGGAAGTGTTGCGTAGGTAAACCACATGCCTTCACTTTGCTGGAAAGAGTCTTGCTTGGCGTTTAGCAGACAAGAGAAGGCATCTTTGCTCGGAATTGTTTATTTCTTTTTCTTCAGCGGGGTCAAGCCATGCTATCACAAAGCACCATCGTATCTCTCCAAATTATTATAACTTTCAATCACAGATTCTTCAACTGCTCAATCTTAAGTGTAGGGTGAAGAGAGTGAGCTGCCTGTCAAGCTGTGTGTTTCTCTTCTCGCTCGGTGCGGTCAGGACCTCGCCGGTGGAAGCCCATTTCTCTTAGGTATAGAAGGCCAAGTCTAATTCACTCAAGGCGGCGTCAGGCGGCACCAGCAGGCCTCAGAGTCAATGACTGCATTACAGCGGCTTAGAGCCTCAATCTCCCAGCCTAATTCAACTATCCTGCTGGCCCTGATGAAGGAGAATGAGAACGCTTAATACTCCATCATAGTGGGGTACAAGGGGGATGGATGGAAGTGAGAGAGGTAAAAGAGAAGGATACAGGAAAAAAAAAAAAGTATAATAAAGAGAGTATCAAAGTTCTGCAAACATCTGATAGTTAATTAGCCAAATCCTGATTTGATTATTCATTCAAGAACTAACAAGCATCTCAACTGAATCCACTTAAAACTGCCATTATCTCCACATTTGGGATGAGCGTAATGAAAACAAACATGGATGAAAATCATCTGACATGTCTTATACGCAGTGCATGCTGCACAGAACAGCTGCAGTGTCTCAGAAATTCAAGCCTCAACACTTTAAGGCCCAAATACATCTGTGAAAAAACATAAGTGTGTGAAGAAGATTGCTTCTAGCTAGACAAGCTTGGTTTCCCACGTCACTGCATACTGGAACACGATTTGTAAGCCAATGCAAATGAGTGTTGCATTCTCAGTGTTGTCGCAAGTGGCACTAGGTGAGAAATTAAACTATACAGTCTTCTTTGGTTCTGTCTTGAGCACAGATAATTAGACTAAGATTAAAAAGCAGATAAAAGCAGGGTAATAACAATATTGTTTGTATTACAAAAGTGTTGATTGGACTTTCATTTACCCCTCGTATGTATGATTCAACGACTATGTAAATACAAATGAGTATATAATTCCCTGTGCAATTCCACAGGCACATGATTGAGGCATTTTATTAAATGCTACGAGTCGAGGGACAACACCAAAGGACAAAAGAGAAAAAAAGAAAGAAAAAAAAATTCTTCATGATGTCTAAAGTAGAACTCTGATGCTTGAGTAATTAATGAGTATTACAATGCACAGTTGGGAATATGATTGCTGAAGAATTCAGAATGAATTTCGCAATAGCATTTCTACACAGGCAAGCTTTAAGATGCTGTTAATCTTTAAAATATCTCCAATCCAATGAGATTTTCTGCATAATGTCCATGTTTTTATCGCAACACTTATGTAATGAATGATGTACTTCGTAATTGTTTTAGGGTATCTGATTAATTTAAGTACTTGAGCACAGTATAATATTCTATACTGACACTGCGATCAGTAACTATAGCCGTCAACTAGTGTTGTCAAAAGACCCGGTACTTCGGTACCAAGTCGGTACTAAAAAAATGAAAACGTTACGGTACCAGGTTTTTTTAAGTACTGGTGGTACCAAGTACCCGGTCAACTCGGTTCTTGTGAGGAAACACATCAAACTAACAAAACACTTTAAAGACAGACACCCGGATCAAATTAAAGAGTTCAAGCAGCTAAGTTTAATTTTAATTTTTAATATTTGTGTTTCCCATGCATTGATTCCATACCTTGAGTGCGGGTGTTTTTTTATCACTGTATTTCTGAAGGAAACCGACTGTCTTCAGAAAATTATGGATGTCATTTTCATTTCATCTTGCTTGTAATGCCTGAGCAGTTTGTGAGCGCAGCGCTTATTTGATTACAGCCGTTACCGGGGAAGCCTCTATCTCTCCCGCACTACAAGCGCCTCCTGCTGGCAGAAAATGAATATGCAGATATATGCCGCCACAAATAGAGTGCAAGTGTGTGGGAAACTGCTTCTGTTATGAATATTATTGAATATTTTAATTTGAATGTCGGATTGAAATGAACATCGCTGTTATTAGAGTAGTTAATCGTTAGCATAACCGCGGCTAACGCTAGTATAATGAGCATTAGAATGAAGTTTCCTTATTAACTATTTAATGCTCCAATAACTTTTATTAGGGTAAAAAAAAAAAAACAGGAGGACATGATGATATTTACTATTTTTACACACCAGAGGCTTTTAAATGAATTGTGAATCTAAAATATGCGTGTTAGAAAATGTACAAATGATTAACATTGTTTGTGTCATATCAATCAGAAAAGCAGTTCTGGGCTTTTTTTTTTTTTTTAGCTAACTTAGTTAGTTGTTATTCTTGGCTGAATAACTCTAGAAGGTTTTCAAAAGCCCTTTAAAATTAAATATGTACACAGTTTGGATTAAATGAAAGTATAGTCAAATTTTTTAGTTTTGCTTTGGTACCGAAATTGGTACAGAGAACCGTGGATTTTCACTGGTATTGGTACCGAATACTGACATTTTGGTACCATGACAACACTACTGTCAACTATATTTAAAATGAAACCATCCATGTAATAGTCAAATCAAATACTAATCAACACAGTCATCTCAGACATTTTTTTTCTCGACAAATATTAGAGCTAATTACTTAGTAATGAGCCTAGCCTTATAATTGGAAATAAATGAGTGATATAAAGGATACACACAGCTAACCAATGTGATTGACTGGGGACTGTTCATTTTCATTGCATTTAGGGACTTTGTCTCTAGAGTATGTAAACAAACATCATAATGTTAGAAGCACAGGATATTGTATAGGTGCAGATCCAATCCCTTAAGCTTGAATTGCTCCAAAGGCAGGAAAATGTCTTATTATAGAGTTTATATACAGATCAGAAGGAATAACTAACTGCATAAAATTTTTATCACAGAATTTTTCATAATAAATTGTACATTAACATATTAAATTGACAGCTCTAGTAATATAAGATTTCCATCATATCACAGACTATAACAAACATGGCCTAGCCTGAGGATTCTGTTATCTCAGAGTAAGAAGTAATGGAGATGATGTACTTTTTTGATTCCAGAATCAATGCTACAGGGAATGACTTTGACAGCCAAGTAAATTGCTTAATG